TCTCCACTTGGTCGCCTCCCTGCGCTTTTTATGCACTGGCCACAGCTGGCAGCAATTTTAGGGTATTTTTTCCCCTAGCAAGTCATATTTATCCTTTTGCACTGTTGATTATGGTTCTGGTTCAGATGGTCCTTTCAGCCTAAGCTCCACCCTTTCCCCTATGCAGCGGTTTATACATTCCCCCACCCTTTGAGACTACGGTCAGTGGGGCTGGAATTTTTCCTGCTTGTAAACCAAGGGCGAATTTAGGATAAAATCCTTTCATCTATCTGGGAATCAGACATTTCAAAGCAAGAAGCATTTTAGTTTTGACAAAACAACATATTGAGGAAGAAGGGAGGGGAGTCGGGACTTGGTTGTCTCTCTCAAGTGGCTGTGACTCTACAGGGAACAGGAACCTTCAAGACTTTTGCCATTGCAGATTTCCTGATGCCCCCTCAGGCCTGTTCAGTACTGCCTGCAAAGGTCTAGGGAGCTTACAAATGGAGTCAGAACACTGTAAAACAGCCTTGGAAGCCTTCTGTTAATATATTTCAGTGCATAACGTGACCCGATAAATAAAACGCAAGGACCCAGCTCTCAGCTATGAAAGAGCCAGGGAAAGAAAAGGAAGTGGAAGTTCAGAGGTTGCTGCTAGCAATTTTTCCCTTTTGTTCTGAGCAGTTGTTAAACTAGATGACATGGGAGATTTATGCTGAACGATATTCTAGCAGCTCACATAATCCCAACATCCAATAAGTTAAAGGCACATGGTGTAAACTGGGACAGGGACACCTTGAAGCCATACAAAAATTTGCAATGGCCATGGCAGGCCATATTCATACCATACATTTAAACCACTATGATACCACTTTTAACAGTCATGGCCTTGTCCTTATTCCACACTCAGAGCTACAGTTCAGTGTGGTCTAATTACTCATCCTCCTTCCCACAGAACTCTGAGAATTGTACCTCTGTGAATAAAATAGGGGTTTCCTAACAACTTTTTACAGAATGTGGGTGGCGCTGTGGTCTAAACCACTAAGCCTAGGGCTTGCCGATCAGAAGGTTGGCGGTTCGAATCCCAGCGACAGGGTGAGCTCCTGTTGCTCGGTCCCAACTCCTTCCAACCTAGCAGTTCAAAAGCACATCAAAGTGCAAGTAGATAAATAGGTACTGCTCTAGCAGGAAGGTAAATGGCATTTCCGTGCGCTGTTCTGGTTTCACCAGAAGCGGCTTAGTCATGCTGGCCACATGACCCAGAAAAACTGCCTGTGGACAAACATCGGCTCCCTCAGCCAGTAAAGCGAGTTGAGCGCTGCAACACCAGAGTCGTTCGTGACTGGACTTAACTGTCAGGGGTCCTTTACCTTTACCTTTTAACAACTTTAAATGTGTGGTCTGCATGTGCCCATACCCCCAGACAGAGGGCCAGGTTAGGTCTGGTCTGTTGGAAATACTTTGTGAACTTAAGGCTAACAGGATATTAAAAACATATAGAATGATTTGCTTGGAAGAGGCCAGAAAATAGTCTCTAACCATTGCTATCACAGAGTATATCTATACCACAGTCCTAAATTACTTTAATAGTCATTCCCTTTTTGCTACATAAAACAAGAGCCAAATTGCTGTAGGAAGGTTCTTATAAGTGAACTGAGATTTAAGCAGGAAACGTGAAGTAAACCTGCAAAATAGGGTACGGTTTAAAATATGTCTAACCATGGGAACTGTCATTTTGTGAAATGGTGAGAACAGGGATCTTTAACGGGGATTTCTCGGCAGCCTTTCCCAACATTGTGCCCTACAGCTGTTGTGCGACTATAACTCCCATGAACCTGAGCAAGCATAGCCAACAGTGATGGGAACGGTAGTCCCAGTAATATATAGAGCAGGTTTTGGAAGGAGCTATCATGAGCCCTTTCCAGGTGCTGTGCCTCACTTGATTACAATCCAGAGGGGATGAAAGCAAGAGACTTGCTTCCCTTACCTGTCCCCATATCACCTGTTAGCCCTGCCTCCACCCCCCAGGCCTTCCACACATTGGATGATGAGCTCCATACATTCTGAAAAACCCTGATTGCACAAGGTTCTGAATCATGCAGGGAGGCTGTAGAGCAGGCTGTTCAGACCTCCCTCCCAATACAGGACTGATGGGGTGGAAGGACTAGCCCACTCTGTTCCTCGTGCAGTTGAAATTGCACAAGGCATCATCCTTGAACAGGGCTACTGCTAAATTTGTGTGCATTGTTCATTGTGCAAATGAGTCCAGTTTCACATTATAGCTATCAGGGCTGCATTGGTTGAATATCTTCTGAAAGACCCCTAACAACATGAGGAATTATACAAGGGAAAGTCTATATTCTTCATAAGGCTATAGATTACATTTGCATAGATAGAAGCCTTGCCATATGATCTTTTTCAATGCCTCAGAGTAAATGCAAGTCCATGTCTTCACCCAGATAACAATATGCAAGAGATGGCTGAGCAAAAGGAGGCATCCTGGATTCTGCTTATTATTTTCAACCCTGTAATGGCCTGGCCATTATACTTGCCTTCTGCCAGTGAAGGCTAAGGGCAAAAAAAGCCTCCCTAACCCTTCTTCCCCTCTATTTTCTTTAAGTAGAAATAAGTAAAATTGGAAAGCTGGATTACCATAGCATTGTTGCAGCAACAACATGTCCTGAAACATTTCCCACAGCAAACTGTTCCCTCTATTACCCATAATGCACCACTATTAGGTTCTCTCTCCTGCCTGATTACAGAGTGCCTGTCAAAAAGTGGGACACATTGGCAAGGAGGGAATGCGATTTTGGAGAACGAGAAGCAAATTAATTGTCACTCTCCTTGCAGATTGCGGTAATCAGTACAATTTAATTTTCAGGAATAACTTCACACAGGAGACCCTTCTTTTTCGACCAAAAAAAGAGTGGGGGATAATTTTGTTAGCCATATGCAAACAGCTAAATCAGGCAATTCAGCAGGATAACTTGAGAAGGAGCTGTCCTCTCCTCCATGACTCTTTCTAGCCAGGCAACACAGAAACAGGCTGAAAGCCACATCTTTCCCCTTGATTTAAAATGTGCATAAAGTATGCGGTACTTCTCACTTTATATACAGTACAAATTGGTGACCTTCATCTACCAAAGAAAAACCCTCAAGATAAGGTTGCTTCCCTTTGAAAAGAAGAGAAAGTTTAGCCATGAGTTTATTGACAACTATGTGATTAACATTTCAACCTTAATGTTGCATTAGCCCAAATGCAATTACTTGATTTTTGACTGGCTAGGGAAAGAGTGTGTCTTTGGGGGACTCTCTGCTTCAACATTTTGCTGATATGATGGTGGATTAATATGAAGATCTTTATCTCCCATTCACACACCCCTGTTTGCTTACAGCAGCTTTGGCCTTTGTTAGGCAAAGGAGGATCTTGGAAATTATTTTCAAGTGAAATGTCCATCAGACTGTGTGGTGAGTATGAATATTGCAGAGATCCCATGGGATCTCATGCCTCTGTGGGGTCCATGTCAGTGGAGGCTGGACCACCCACTGTTCCACTTAAATATTACCTCCAACTAGACTCATAGGTGTGAATGACAGCCATCCTCATATACAGGTGAAGGGATGCATGTGAGGTGCTGCTGGGAAAGGGCTTAATGTCCTTCTAATGAACTAACACCAGGACGGAGAAGCAGCTCTGCATCTGCTCAGCCATGACTCAGATTGTGCAGCTTGTGCACTTTGTTCCATAAATTCAAAGTGAGCCACTGAGAACCGAAACAGCCTCCATCAATAGATAACGAGCTATACAGTTCCATCAGTAGAGGTGTCATTTTGCAAAACTCAACCAAATGAACTGGAAAGGAAAATGGACAAAGTGGAAAATGGACAAAGCTGGAGCTGAGCATTAAGGGGAGCTGGAGCAGGGGCTAGACAAGAGACCTGCTTAGCATCAACCATGCAGATTTCTGCACAGCATTAATGGGCATGGGGTGGGGCTCTGCCTGCCACTACGGCTGCTTCTGTCTGCCCAGGTTCAGGGCAGGTAGAGGGAGGGGATGAGGACAACGAGGGGCCACAATTCATTGGCAGAGCACAGCCTTTGGATGCAAAGCTCCCAGCTCCTGAAAAGGTGAGTTAAAAGGAAGCTGCTGATGTGAAAGACCACTGCCTGGGAGGCTGGGAGCAACTGCCAGTCAGCATAGACAGTACTGATCTAGATCAGGCAGGGGGAACCTATGTCTCTTCAGATGTTGCCAAACTGCAACTCCCATCAGCCCTTGCACCATGGTTGCTAGGGCTTATAGGAGTTGTTGAGCAACATCTGGAGGACCAAAGGTCCCCCATTCCTGATCGAGATGGACAGCCTGTCCTGGTATATGCCCGCCTCAGCCTCAGATTCAAACAGAAATCAGACATTGCTCTCAAACATTGCTCTCTCTCTGCAACTTGCTGCTTTATCATCTAGCTCACATCACTTTACTCTCATCATCAGACTCTGGCTTCATCCTTCTAACTGTGAGCTGGAGGGGGGCCCTACCCATTTCCTGTCTCACACAGAGCCCCTTTCCTTTGTTTCCCTTATAGGCACATCACCCAGGCTATCACCTCAGCACAGAAAGCTAGCCTGGCTTATATTTTAACACTTGCCAGATCCAGGGGTTAGAAGGGTATCTGCATACAGCCTATGTTTCCCCGTTCCAAACTCATAACACTATAATGAGAGAGTGGTAACCCCCTCCACACACTCAACAGGCAATAAATCAGACCCGAATTCAAGAGAGAGGAATAAGTTTACTCCCTACCTGCAAAGCAGTGATGTCTCATTGATACACAGGAGACTTTAGACTCTGTGACTTTCAATGTCTTCGGCATCATCAAACTGATATTTCAAAGAGATTAAGAACTGAAGGGAACATATGATACCCATTTAAAGCCAAGACTTCAGATTTAATGAAGGCTGTATCAGAATGAGATATGATCCAGATATCAAATTACATTTGTTTAGCCCATCACAGCTTAATAATCATGGAACTTTGAAGTGTCAGGCATAGCCCTATTGGCTTTAGCCCAAACGTAGCAGAGTTTTCCTGCACAGCGAGGAAGCTAGTTGCGGAGGTAATGACTAGTCAGCTAGACTCAGAATAACTATTTACAGGATTTATTAAAAGGAAAAAAAAAATAAAACCAGCAGAGTTTCTGCATACAAAACAAAGCAAATAAATCCTTTCTTTCTCTCTCTCTCTCATAACCATACACAGCACTTCTAACTCCTTCTCCTAACACACCTCACCCCAAACTGTGCTAGCATTCCTAGATAACAGAGTTGAGTGCTGGTCGTTAACCAATCAGAGTAAGTAGTTTCTAGGTCAAGCAGACCTTGGCTTTCTGCCAAGAGTAAATTGACACTGCCTTGAGTTAATTGTGTGAAGCCAGAATCTGCAAGTTTCCCATGAGAATCAATTAACAGAAACTGAACACCCCCTCACAGATTCTGCTGGACAATTAACATCAAAAACACCTATGTAGGAGATTATTTTTCCAGCAAACCTAAACCCTTGCACATTTGCTTGTTCTTTATCTTTGCCAATGGTTTAGTTAATACATCTGCTACATTTTCTTCACTTGATACATAAGTACATGTGATTATATTGTCTTGTACACAGCAACGTACATTTTGGTATTTTACAGAGATATGTTTGGAACGTGATTTGAAACCCTCTGTTTTACTTAAGGTTATACAAGCTTGATTATCAATGTAAACTCGTACTGGTTCTCCACAATTTACATTTAAATCTGCTAACAAATGCTTGAAATAAATCACCTCGTTGCACAATTCACTCAGTGCGGCGTACTCTGATTCCGTTGATGACACACTTACAACGTCTTGCTTGCGTGACCGCCAGCTGATTAAAGCTCCACCGACCATTATGACTAGTCCTGTGACAGATTTTCTATCTGGCAAATTTCCCCAGTCACTATCACAGTAGCAACTCAACATTTCGTCCTCGGAAGAATTTAATTGTAACATATAGCCAATTGTCTGTTTGAGGTATCTCAGAACTTGTTTTACTCCTTTCCAGGCATTTAGTGTGGGTTTTGAGACCAATCTACTTAATATGCCTACTGCGTAGCTAATATCAGGTCTGGACCACTGTGCTAGATACAATAAACTTCCAATTACAGAGTGATATACATCAGGATGTTCAAATTCAGGACTCTCATCTATATGAAGTGTTTTTATGAAACCTGGATCCATAGGCACCGCTGCCCCTTTGCAATCCTGCATCCTGTATGTAGTCAGTAGTTGTTTAACTTTGTTCTGCTGACTAATTAGGCAGCTGCCATCTTGGGCCCAGCACACTTCCAACCCTAGATATGTCCTAACCGGGCCTAAGTCTTTCACTTTGAACTTACTGGACAATTGCTTGGCAAACCTTTTAGTTTGTTTATCTGTTTTACAGGCATACAATACATCATCTACATAAATCAGACAAAACTCTTGATCACTGCCTGTACCACGTACATAAACACAATTGTCAGCTGTACTCTGCTTGAAACCAAATGACACTAAGGCCTCATGGAAACACTTGTTCCAAGATCTTGCAGCCTGTTTGAGACCATATAGAGCTTTGTTTAATTTTAACACTCTATTGGAACCTGTCTCATAACCAGGCGGTTCGGCTAGATACAGGTCTTCTGATATTGATGCATGTAAATATGCAGTCTGGATATCAAAATGGTTTAACAGGAGTTTTCTCTTTGCTCCAAGCGTTAAAATCAGCCTTACACTGTCCCCCTTAGCAGTAGGGGAACAAGTTTCATCATAATCTTTTCCAGGCCTCTGAGAATATCCTTGAGCCACTAAACGAGCTTTGTATTTGTACTTTCCTGTCACCAGAGGTTTAAGTTTGTACACCCACCTGCAGCCTACAATCTTTGCCCCCTCAGGCGCTGCTACTGGTGTAAAAACCTTGTGCTCATTCAGAGAGGACATCTCTTCCTCCATTGCCTGTTTCCAGAGCTCTGCCTCCTCTTTTGGTAACTTTAACACCTCCTGAAAACTCTTGGGTTCTGCAATTACACTAAACACATTTGCAGTATCTGGAGAAAAACGCACCGGAGGCACTCCTTTGTTTTGTCTTTTAGATCTTCTGGGAGAAAATTTTTCTTCTGACCCACTTTCCTCCTCAGAACTACGACCTCTCTTTTGTTGCTTAGCAACTGGTCTCTGGCTAACTCCACTTTCTTGAGAGCTCTTATCTGAACTTTCCTCCCCTCAGACTCTGATTCTCTGTGTCTACCTTCAGAGTCATGGAGCTCCTGGGAAGGTTCAAACCAAACCTCAGTATTGGCATGTAGTCTCTCCCAGCCACTATGTTCACAAAAACTGGCATTCCTGGAGATCACAATGCCATTTGTCCCTTCAGCAAAGCGGAAACCTTTTCCCAGCTCCTGGTAACCCACAAACACTAACTGTTTGGTCTTAGGATCTCCCTTCTTTCTCATTTGTTTCGGAATTAATACCCAGGCTTTTGATCCAAACACATGCAAATGGTCAATTTTAGGTTTTTTCTGAAACAATTTAAAGTACGGGGTTGTACCTATTGTTTGATGAAAGAGCCTATTTTGGAGATAACACGCGGTGAGCATACTCTCCCCCCAATAAGACATGGGCAAATCAGCATCATCAAGCATGGCAAACATCATATCTTGTAAAGATCTGTTTTTTCGCTCTGCAACGCCATTCTCCTCTGGGGAAAAAACGTTCGTTTTCCTATGCCCAATGCCACGCTTTTGTAACCAATCTCTAAAGGCATTTGACATAAATTCGCCACCTCTGTCCGTCTGAATCCTTCTGAGTTTAATGGACAGAAATCTTTCCACAGATGCCACCCAGCCTTTAAACTTAGTGAATACGTCACCCTTATTTTTCATGGGAAAAACCCAAGAGTAACGCGTGGCGTCATCCACAATTGTTAGTGAAAAGCGCGCGCTACCCCTGCTTACAGCAAATGGACCAATTACGTCCATGTGAACCAGCTGTAGCGGTGACTCACTAACTCTGTCACTTCTGGGGTAAGAGACTCTGTGGGTTTTAACCTTTTTACAACTCTTTAAATTACCCCCATCAGCCAATTCAGACATTTTTAGTACACTCTTCCAGCAAGCATGCCCCATTTTCCTATGCAATAAGTGCACACAGTTGTCATGTATAGCTTTGTTATTCACTGCAGGCTGAGATTTACTGACTACTGCTGCAACTTGAGATCCTGCTTTAAGCCAAAACAAGCCTCCCTCTGACTTAGCAGTGCCTAAAATCTCACCAGCCTTCTTAATAATGCAACTGTCTCCTTCAAAATACACTTTAAACCCAGCTTTTAGCAAACAATCTACAGACATCAGATTGCTCCTTAATGACGGCACACAAAGTACATTTTGCAGGCATTCACGAAGACAAGGAACAAAAACTGCACCCCCCGAAATCACTTCGAAGTACTACCGTCAGCTAGAGCCACCTGGCTGCGCTGTGCTGAGTTCTTGGAAACAAACAATTCATCTGAATTTATGATGTGCCGAGACGCTCCAGAATCGACCACCCAGACAGCTTGTTTCTCATCAGCAATCTTGACCTCGGCGGTCACCAGCTGAGCCGACTGTTTTTGTTTGAAGAATTTCTTTTACGCTGCTGCTGCTGCTGATCTCGTCTCTGCTCCTGCACCGGCAACTGAGACTTGACCAACTCCGGACATTGTCGTTTTAGATGCGCTGAAGACCCACATCGGAAACAACGCCTAACAGCAAACGCTGACTCCTCACCAGTACGCTGCTTTTGCTTCACCTCTGGCACGGCATGAGAACTCCTTCCAAACCGTCCACCTGTAGAAGCCTCTGCAGCCAACGACCTTTCTTGCCTCTTCTGCCATTCTTCAATCAAACGCCCAGTAACGTAACTGACTGATAAATCACGCTCCTGTATGCCTTCTAGAGACAAAACTAAATTATCCCAGCTTTCCGGGAGAGAACTCAAAATAATAGCCACCTTCTCCTGCTGGTCTAACGCACAGTCTCTTTCCTGTAGCGCAGCGAACTTTAACTGTAAACTGTGTAGGTGTTCCTGCATTGTAACCCCAGGCTGTAACATTGCCTTGTACAATGCCTTGCGAATGAACAGCTTGGAAACCGCTGTCTCACGCACATGGAGTTCTTTAAGTGCTTGCCACACACCTCTAGCTGTCTTGATTCCCTCACATACGGCAACTGGGAATCTTCCAGCCCCAAGACAATTGTGGCCCTTGCTCTTTGGTCTTTATCGAGGTCTTCATCATCAGGCTTCGTAGGAAACTTACTCACCACTTGCCAGAGACGATCCCTCTGCAGCACTGCCTGCATGCGTTCCGACCACAGCAAGTAATTGGAGTCATTCAGACGCTCAAAAGCCATCTGAACTGGTTGTGAGGCCATCTTGAGAGCGATGTCCCTGGAACCCGGAACCAGCTACTCACGACCACCGAGAGAGAAAACAGGAACCACAGCACCCAGCACTCAACCGCTGCAGCTGTTGTCCTTGTGTCCACTGCGTCACCAGCTCACCACAGTCAGGAACCAGCCAGTGTCCATCTGCTGCACCAACAGGAACAACAACTTCTGGAACTACTGGAACCAACACCGTTGATGCTGACACCACCACAACTCAGGCTGGCAGGCTGGGCCCATAACCTCATGGAACTTTGAAGTGTCAGGCATAGCCCTATTGGCTTTAGCCCAAACGTAGCAGAGTTTTCCTGCACAGCGAGGAAGCTAGTTGCGGAGGTAATGACTAGTCAGCTAGACTCAGAATAACTATTTACAGGATTTATTAAAAGGAAAAAAAAAAATAAAACCAGCAGAGTTTCTGCATACAAAACAAAGCAAATAAATCCTTTCTTTCTCTCTCTCTCTCATAACCATACACAGCACTTCTAACTCCTTCTCCTAACACACCACACCCCAAACTGTGCTAGCATTCCTAGATAACAGAGTTGAGTGCTGGTCGTTAACCAATCAGAGTAAGTAGTTTCTAGGTCAAGCAGACCTTGGCTTTCTGCCAAGAGTAAATTGACACTGCCTTGAGTTAATTGTGTGAAGCCAGAATCTGCAAGTTTCCCATGAGAATCAATTAACAGAAACTGAACAAATAAATCACAGCAAACATTTAATAAATATTTATCTTCTTTTAATCACCATTTAGTACTTTCTCTCTGATCTCCCCATTCCCTTAATGGCTCACTCCCATATTTATTAAATGTTATTTCAATTTCTTAAATAATCAATATATCTTTTTTATTTTTATATTTCAGGCAGCTCTGCTGAACTTTTCCAAGATTTAATTAAGATTAAGGTTTAATCTTTAATTCCGATATATAAATTACCTCACATTCACTATTAAGTCATTATTTCGTAGCCTCATTTGGTATTAAATCTCAGCTGGCAATACAAAGAAGCTCAACAGCAGTTACAGCACAGACATTAATGAACTGCGAGGGAATTCGTTGGGACAGAGGAGGAGCTGGGCTGCAATTACATCCACTGACTGATGGGGATGTGTAATTAATAATATAAAGCAGACACTAACAAAGGAGGAATTGGAGGTGCAGTGACAAAGCTTTCAACCATGCAGTGATCTTGTGTAACTACATAGGTCAGGACTCAGTCAATTGCAGTAGCTGCAACAATGCGGGAAAGCACTAATAACTTTGTATTGTAGTAGTACTAATGCAGGTTAACTGCTGGCCTGGAATAGGCAAATGGAAATTCCAAATTTACTGAGCGTCCATTCTATTTCAGTAGAAATCTAAGAAGCTGGTTTCCATTTACATTTTAAGCAAGATTATCTTTTCTAGTGAGCCTGGAAAAATATTTATTTATTGAATTTATATCCTGCACCTTCCCAGGGAGCTCAGGATGCCAAACATTATAACAATCTAAAAACAAAGCAAACCATTCTGAAACAGATTAAAACATTCTAAAAACAATTACAATCAGGAGTGCCAACTTGAATAAAATATGAGGGGGGCAGGTAAGCTGCTCCCCACATAATCACAAAACATTGCGTGCACAACACCATTTTAATGGTAATGCCCACCAACTGGGAAGCGGGTCCCTCAAATATTTTATTGGGGTCCCCAAAGAGATCTCAGCCCCTAGGAGTTGGCTCCTATGGTTACAATTAAAACTTTCTAAAAGCAGTTTCATTTAAAAACATACTTCCATCCAATGATCTCATACATGCCAGAAGTATTATTCAGCTACCAAGTGCCTGGCTAATTAGGGATGTTTTCAGGTTCTTCCTGAAAGTTAGTAGTGGTGAATACACTCATTAGGGAAGGCATTCTACAACCAGGGAACCGCTACTGAAAAGGCCCTGTCATTGGTTAGCCCTCAGTGGCAGCACCACCAAACAGGGACGTGGGTGGTGCTGTGGGTTAAACCACAGAGCCTAGAACTTGCTGATCAGAAGGTCGGTGGTTCGAATCCCCACGATGGGGTGAGCTCTCGTTGCTCGGTCCCAGCTCCTGCCAACCTAGCAGTTCAAAAGCACGCCAAAGTGCAAGTTGATAAATAGGTACCGCTCCGGAGGGAAGGTAAACGGCGTTTCCGTGTGCTGCTGTGGTTTGCCAGAAGCGGCTTAGTCATGCTGGCCACATGACCCGGAAGCTGTACGCCGGCTCCCTCAGCCAATAAAGTGAGATGAGCGCCGCAACCCCAGAGTCGGCCATGACTGGACCTAATGGTCAGGGGTTCCTTTACCTTACCTTATATGAGTAACAAAAAGATAGCTTCATTGTACAGCTGCTAATTTTTGACTAGTCAGACACAGAATCAAGCAGGTAAAGGTTTTTTTCTTCCATCCCCTTCAATTGACACAATGCTAGGAAATGTTTTACCTGATAAACATCTGTACGCTGAGTTGCTTTTTAAGGCACAGAAGCAAATTGGCCGAAGTAGAGTTGGCCACCCTAGTCTGGGCTTCAGAGAGCCAACAAGCAGAAAACAGACATTCCAAAGAAAGGCTCATTGCAATCTCAATCTCTTAGCTGCTACCAGATTGTAGAACATTTATAGGGGGATGAGCCAGCCCAGGTGGAGTGCTTGCCCCATCCTCTGAGACATTAATAACCCTCTTGAGTCAGTAGTGCCAGACCAGCAGCTCTGACACCAAGAGAGGAGAAAGAAAATGTGAGGGTGGTTGGTTTGGGATTTATTGGCACCTATAGAAACTCTGTAAATCCTGACCTTTTGCAACACAGGGAAATGGCTAAAAGAAAGCAAACTGTGCATCCTGAAATGCTAATGATGTGCAAGTCTCTCAGAGACAGTGCACCTTCCCATCCCACGCCTCTCCTTGCAGCTGCAAACAGGCCTCTCTGGGGAGAGCATTTTAAACTGGCCAGAGAAAATGAGGCATTCTCACTGACAGTGAGATTCCCAAGAGGAGCTGAAAAGGACCTCCTCTGTATCTAGATGCTGTCAGAGTTATCACAGATCTCTGCAAAATGGCTGAAGTCAAAATACTGGTTTCTGTGGCTGCAGTCAACAGTCCCTTCCTTGACTGCTTGATTTAGGAAGTTTAGAGTTTTCACTTGACCTGTCCTAGAGAGAAGTGCAGGGAGAGGGAGATTGTTGTTCCTTTGGTTAATGATTTCAAATGGCCGATATTAAAACTGTGCTTTAAATGTTTATTTTCTAAAGCCCATGTAGCAAACACAGAGTTAGAGCTGATGATGTTTGTGGTGTTAGGCTACCCTATCCTTACACCACTACCCCATATAACACTGTCAGAATTCTTTGTCTAAATATTGGTGGACTTCTTAATCTAGAATCTCAGTATTAAAACTACCAGCCATCACCACATCCCTTTGAGTACTGTAGTTGTACGCTAGGCACAGGCAAATTTGGCCCTCCAGATGTTTTGAGACTTCAGTTTCCATCATCCCTGGCCACTGGTCCTGTTAGCTACGGATGATGGGAGTTGTAGTACCAAAACATCTGGAGGGCTGAGTTTGCCCATGCCTGTTGTAAGCAGTGGTTTTTTCTGGGGGGAAGCAGGGGTATGCATACCCCTAAACATTCTGTGAATCTATGTTTGGCCTCATTGAGGGGCAGTATTTCAATATGAGTAGGAAAATGAGAGTACCCCTCAACATTTTTTAAGGAGAGAAAAAAGCACTGGTTGTAAGATATATTGGGGTAGGGTTGCCATATTTCAAACAGTGAAAATCTGGACAGAAAAGTTGTTGAGCTGTTGTTGGCAACCCTATATTGAGGGCTAATGAATTTCTATTAATTGTGTACAGAAAAGGTCTCGTCTTTGTGGCTGAGACATTGACATTGAGATGACTATCTTAGCAAATGGTTCCAGAAGCACAGAAACAATGGCATGATTTGCCAACCTTTTTGGGCAACTGGACACATTTGCAAACCTGAGATACTGTTGTGAGCACTACACACACACACACACACTACAGTCCCGTGTCTGAGGGTAAGCTGTCACAAACAAACAAAATGTCACAAAAATTGCTCTGCATTTTCTAGTACAGAAAATCTATTTTGCTGCTGTTTTATTGGCTGGGCTGAGCAGGCTTATAGTCTCTCATCAAACTATTGTTTCTGAATTCCAATGAGCCCATAGGCTGCTCCATGGGCCCTCAAAGTTAGAAGGTGCAACCCAAAGACCAAGGAACAGAAGAGGCCTGTCTAAATGATGGAGGACATTACAAATAATTAGTGTACCAGAAAAGCCGTTAATCAGAACTAAAGCAGGAGAACTCCCAGAAGACCAGCCAGGTGTCAGCATTTATCAGCCTTCCACTTCTGCAGACATAACATTTTGCTCTGTGTTTCTTACTGCTGCATCAATACTTGGAAATGAAGATGGACATCTATAGGCAGAATTTCAGCCACGGGAAAGCAAAGAGACCCTTGCTGTCAGGATACATAAAGCATGGCATTAGACTATTTACAATAGGATGGGTGACGGAAAATGGACAGAGGGAAAGTCCTGAACATGAAAAAATTAAATAAGGAGAAACGGGAGCATCTCATTGCACAGATCAAGCATTTCACACAAAAGGCAAGACTTGAAGAAGTCTACAACACAAGAGAAAGATGGGCATTTTGCCTGCAAAAGATCTCAAATTCAGTACCTGGCATTTAAAGGAAGAGCTGGGAAAGTTTTGTCTAAAAAGCTATAGAGTTCTGCAATTCAGGATAGACTTGCCCTCCAGGTGTTGTCAACAACTCCCATTATCCCTCACCAGGTTTCAGGAGTATGATGCGGGCAGTAGTGAGCTAGATGGACCAATGGGTTCAACTTGGTATTATGCAGTTTCCTGCATTCCTCTAATATGTACTTGCTTTTGCACAAGCCTAATGTAGTTTGATGGAGCTACTGTAGGCAATACCGAGCTTCAGAAGAAAGAAGAAGTGGCACAGGGGCCTCTAAGGGATATTTAAATCTCCTATTGAATTTTAGATTTCCACAGGCCGATTCACATCCAACCCATATTATGCTTGTTCCAAGTGAGAAAGCTCCTTTGATTTTAGACAAAGGAAAAAAACCACACCTGCTGTTTACTACTGTGAGAAATGCCTTGGTTCCAGGCCAAAATTCTATCCTCATGTTCCTCTCTAGGGCCTGCTACAGCCTATTGTAGTAAGCCTGACTCCCAAAGCTTAGAAAAGCAGTGCTGTGGTGTTCTGAATGGCTGGTTTAAATGCCAAGATTGTGTCATGCTGGAATTAAGGCCTGGCTTCAGCTGCTGGAGGGAAGTGGTTGATGCTATAGAACAGGCATATCCAACCTGGTCTTTCCCTCTTAAAAAAGCAATGAAATGGGTTGATCACTGCCTGTTTTTTTTTAATACTGGGAGTAGATCGCAGTAGCTTGGAAGTTGGACGTGCCTGCTATAGAACAGTGGTTTTCAACTAGTGTGCCATGGCACCCTGAGGTGCCTTGAATGATGATCAAGGGTGCTGTGGGCAACATAACTGGGCTCCTGAGCCCCACAGGGGTTCTGCAGAAAGAATGCAGTTGATCAAGGGAGCCACGGACTCAAAAAGTTTGCTTTGAGTTGCCAGAGCAGAATGGCCAATAAGTTTAATATAATAAAAATATTGGTTATTGCTTACTTTTG